ATCAGAATCATCATCACCATCACCATCACCATCACCATCATCATCCTCATCACCATCATCACCATCATCACCATCACCATCATCACCACCATCATCACCACCATCATCATCATCGTCATCACCGCCATCGTCATCATCATTATCATGAACATCACCTCCATCATCGATCCAATGAGGGAGAGAGTGCAATGCCTGTGAGTGTGCTTCCTCTGTAGAATATGCCCAGTTGCTGCAGTTTTTCCAGACTGCTGGCATGGATCCTGAGCCATCTGAGCCCAGCCCACATCCTGAACCCAAGCCATAAGCCATACCCACGAGATGCCGAGATGTCTGAGGCCTGCACTACGAGGATCGCGTGCGTCAAGCAGATCCTGGGGCGTTTTGGGTTGCTGCTTGTTGCTGTTGTCATGGATTTTGTTGTCGCTAGCCTTATCACAGACATTCTATTTCGGGCGTTCATTGTTCACCAGTACATATAATTATCAAAGTTTTCGTGCTTCTTGTTTCACTGTCGTTGCCGTTCGTTTGTTGCTTCCAGCGCTTCTTGCCAAAGCTATGGCGGTCTTGATTCTCATGAACTTTGTCAGTCTGCTTGGTACTGCCAGTTCTGGCTTCAGGGTTAGCTGGGAGCTCTGAAGAAGATGCACCCAGCGGACCGCAAGTAAGCTGGAGCTGTGTCGCTGAAATCCAGAACGCCCCACTCACCTCCTCTCATTCTGGCCGAAACTGAAACTTTTACTAGCCGACGAGGTGGTTCGGCTCTCCAAGTAGCTGACTTTCATCGTGGCGTCCCTGAACCGTAAAAACAGGAGGCGGATGTCGCGTTCACCTGGGAGAACGGCCGAGCGGAGCTGAGATCAGGGGGATCTGCCTTTCAGGACCTGAGCTAGACGCTGGGAGCGGGCAGAAACTCCGCGCCTTCCAAGTTTAGACCCGGAGACTGGGGGCTTCTGCGACGGATCCATGTTGCGTAAAAGACGCTGAGGAACGGATGATCTCCGGCTGAAGAGCTGGAAGCAGGACGTCTTTCGTGTGGCACACATCTCATGATGCAGTGCAACGGTCGCGGCTACTGTACAGGTCAAGCTCAAAACATAATTCGTCATCGCAAGAAACGCGAGTACTAGCCACGTTTCATGGCTTGGGGCTTTATAGTTTTATGAGCCGGGCCGGAGCGTGTTAACCACTGCAAACCAGTGCACAACGCCGCATACAGGTGCTTAGAAGCAGTAGCGGCAAAGATCGTCAACACCCTGGGCAATCATAGTGCCCGTAGCAGCCGCCAGCAGACATACCCGCATAACCCGTATTCCAAAAAATCATATAAGGACTTGTAGCGCTGTTTGTGAAACCGGTCGTCTTTGCACGACTGCGATGGTGCGATTCGTACTTCGTGACAGCAGTTGGCGTACGTCTGGCACTCTGGGAAACAAGGACTAAGCCAATTTCCCCATAGACCATTCCTGATGGGCTTGCAGATCAACTCCGACGAGAACACATTCATCAGCCAGTCTGAAACCCCCTGCCCCTGAACCAGAGTCTGAAACTGAATCTGAAGCAGGTGCTTTGTAATATCCCGACCATATTGAGCTTGTGAAGACTAGCACTTGTTCCCAACCTCAATTTGATCCCCCTCTTTATTCTGTGGGAGTTGGACTGCAAACCCGGCGGCTCAGCAAGAGTTCCAGGAACTTTGCAAGAGAAGCAATAACTGCCTCACCCTGGAGATCCACATCCGCCCAGCAGACACCTTCTCCACAGGCAAGAGGCTTTGTTAACTGGTCCGAAATGATTTCGCTCTTATGGATAACGGGTCGGATGTTTTGCAGGCCAGCCCCGAGAGTTCAAGACCACGAGCTTTCAAGAGCCCATGGCTTATGGAGTGGTACGTGGGAGGCACCCACTTGAGAGGCTTTCTGAGCGACGTCGGTGAGCCGAGGCCCGCACATCTAACCAAGACCCCGGCCGGACGCTCCTGTAGCGACGTGCAAACCTGCAGGAATCCCTGCGGAATCTCCCTTGCGAGGCAAACCGGAACCACACCGAAAGCCGAATTGGAGTTAAATCGGAGTTGAAATGGCAACGAGAGTCACCCCGAACCTTGCCGCAGCAGTAAGCACGGCACTCAGCAGGTTCGATCCAATCGTTGGGCTATGCCTTCTACCTGCGGCTGAAGGACTTGCACGCCAAGTCCTTCATGCTTCAGTTTGGGGTTTGGAAGTTGAGGCGTCTAGGGTTCGGGGTGTAGCGTGCAGCCAGAGACCAGACGAAATGGCTTTTGGCATGGTGGGCTAGTGGAATTCATGTATGTGCTGAGCATGCTCTCGTTTGAAGATGAAGGGAGTTTACAAGCTGGACCATGTCAGCCTAACCCGAACGGCCCTTGCGTAGAGTTTAAGGTTTTGGGATGGCTCAGAAACCGACGACGTCTAACGCAGCTGTTGCGAGGACATGCGGCCGATCAAGGAGGGGTCCGTGCAGGTGTACCAGGCGAGAGAGCGGTCTTTCTGCTTCGATCCTCGCCGTTGTCTTGGAACTCGGAGTCCTCTGGGAGTCGGAATGACTAGTTACTAGTCATAGTATTCTGTCCCTTTATGCCAGTACTATAAGTTGCCCCCAAACTTATTCCACTTGTTCAACTTCCCTGATATGGCCTTGCAAATCACCCTTACAGTGGCCCTGAGAGAATGAGTCTCTCTGTGGCAGGCCTTGGTCCGTTCCAGTTGGCTCTTTCGAAGCCGGGCGGGTGCTCTTTGGCAAAACTATCGTCTCCATGTAAGTATACTACTAGGCACTGTAATGTAACGTAATCTAGTTTACCTGAAGAATACGATCATATACGACTCTAGCAGAACATACTATCTTATTCGTAAAATACTGTAGCCTGAAGAGTTCTGAAGGCCACTGTGTTACAGAGCAGCAGGTTTCTGGCCTGGTGCCCGGGAAGGTGAATTTTAGCGTTCTTTTGTGCGGCCAGGCCCAGGGCGTTTCAGGGGCCAGGAAGAGGTGCGACACTAACAAACACTGCAATGCTAACTTTGTCAGCCTCAGTCAGACATACATATCATGGGTAGACATATGTATACATGCATACACACCTGATACATATATATATATATAAACACATACATGCATATATATATATATATATATATATATGTATGTATGTATACGTACATATACACCTGCGTATATGCATATGTATATACTTATGTGTATATATATATACACATTTATTTATTTGTTATTTACATGCATGTGCTTATATTTATGTGAGTGTATGTGTATATGTATAGGCACAGGCTAGGTATAAGGATATATATATATATATATACATAGGTAGAGGTATATGTATAAGCATGACTGCGCGCATGTATGTGTGTATGAATATATGCATGTATAACCTGTGTATATATATAGATGTATACGCAAACATCCTTTTGATAAACCAGGAGCTGCGCTTGACTGCATGCTTTATAGTGATAGATTCACAAACCAGACAGCAAAGAGCCACCACTTGGGGTTGTACCAGTATTAGCAGCAGTGTTTGCCATAGCCCGATCGCTAGAAGCCTAGCCATGATCGCGCTGCCTTTCGTAGCAATAGGAAGATCGAACCCGAAAGCCTGAAGTCATAAACCCGGAACTCTAAGACCCTAGATGCCACAACCTTCGACCCTAAACCCCGATACCTTATGAAAGCTCTATAAACGCACTTGTAAAACACATAAATCCCCTGGGCCTACACCCCAGCGCCCCTTATCAGCGCTTAGGTTGGGATCTTCTTGGAACGCTTTGTGACGAACCTGCTCATGCCCTTTGCCTTGGGAGTTTGGGTTTTAAGCTTCGGAGTTTTGGGGCTTTCGGGTTTTGGGGGTTTCGAGTTCAGGGCTTGGGGGCTTGAGGGTTTGGCATTTTCAGGGGCCACAAGAACAGCAAGTTGCAGCAAGTACATACCCCGAGAAGCAGCAAAGCCTGAATCCACAAAGCTCTACAGTTTCTAATCAGGAACGGACGGTTTCAGGTTGCTGGATCGGCACACGGGCTTTGAGGTTGGCATTTATTTGGAGCCAAGGAATCACAGCAACCCTGATAGAACCGTTGCTACTTGGCCCTGATAGGTTGAAGAAGTACACGTGATCATATGGGTTCCCCGTCAGTTGGCTCGCACTCACTACCTCTTGGTGTTCTTGGGGCGATCGGCTTCGTCCCATGACCTCGAACGGCACAGGGATCGAATGATCGGAGACAGAAGCGTCTCGGCTCAAGACATCATACCAACGTCGTGTGAACCCGAGCATAATGAACGCCCGAATCATAGTTGGAAGTGTCGGAGTCATGGCAAGCAAAGAGCCCAGGTGATTGTGATAAACAGATAGAAACAGGATGTGTACCCTCTCCCTCTATGTGTAGACATGATACACATACAGAGATATATATATATATATACACACACATACATGCATACATATAGTGCTCGTCATCACCGTCATCGTATTAATAGTATCAACAGCAATAGAAGTAAGGATGATAGCAGCTAGCAGTAGCAGTGCTGACTGGCATCATGGCGGTGACAGTGATAGCCGCAAGAACATCACAGTAGCAACAGTGTGCCCTAAAGCCTACACCCCAAACCTGAAGCCTATCAAGCTCTAAACCCTAAACTCCCAAAGACTAAACCTTAAATTCCTAAGCCCCTGAGCCAATGCTGCGTGTCTGGCTCGCTTCTGGTGTGGAGCACACCATCCGCCACGAGCTGCTGGCGGAGTCCGCAAGGTCTCCGGTTGGGGATTTGTTTCTTAGGGCTACTTGTAGTTTGAGGTTTAGGGCCTTAGGCCTACGGTCTGGGGTTTGGGGAGTTAGGGCTTAGGGATGTATTTTCGTTCTAGTGTAAGGGTTCTACGAAGGTTTCAGAATTTCAGAAGGGCTTGGGCTTCGGAGCCAAGGGTTCAGGGCTTCAGGTTTGCAGTCCTAGGTCTTATAGTCTTAAGTTAGGCTCTAAGGCTCCAGGGTGAAGAGAGGGGTTCTTGGTGGTTTACCGTGGGTTTTTTGAGGATTTATTGTGCAGGAAAGGTTCTCCAGTGGATTCGAACGCATGTAGCCCGCGAGCGGCGAAGAACGGCGTCCCTGCGACAAGGGTGCGCGTCGTGGTCCGTAGTCCAATAAGCGATGCCCTTTAAGCTTGACAGCTGGGTTCATCGTGCCACACTCAAGGCAACACTTGTTGTTCCCAAAGAAGCACGGGCCTCTAGACTGCAAGCCCTGAAACCCTAACTCCGAAGTCTGACGCCTGAAACCGGGATCGTCCAAGTTTTTCTGTGTTGAACCGTGAACTCTATGCGCAATGAAGCAACGTCTGCATCTAAGGTTTGGTTTAGTGCTTTGGGGGAGTCTGATACCTTATTGTAAGGGACAAGCTGGGGTTTTCTGGAAAGCCAGATGGAAGCTAGGAAGGTTTGTGGCCAGGGCCACAGGGACGTTCAGGTTTAGGAAGTTTAGGGTCTTATCAGGGAGTGTTTTGTGTTCGAGTCGGATCTGGAGACTGTAGTAGGCGAGGAGAGCTAGATTAGCTGCTAGATGCTTTGAGGGCAACTCCCCGAGCGCTTGATTCTTCGATGTCGCCTCATGCAGGCCTGTGCAGGCCTTGACGCTTGGCCATCGTTAACGTATGCTTTCGGCATTTAAATTGCGCAGTAACTGGCCTTTTGTCGTATGTGGGGCGTGACCTGTGACCCCAAACGTGGTAGAGGAACTCGTGGCTGCTGCTGCTGCATTTTCCTAGCAAATCGTTCTGAGATGGTCTCTAAATGCGTGTGTAGAATTTATTGAATTTCTTGCATCCATTTCATCTTCGAACTGGTTCCAAGGAAGCAGCATCTCAGCGGCATTTGTGGTGTGCCGCGCTTTCGGCAACGGCTTCTCTGTGGGAGCAGCTGTCTGCAGGACGGAATTGCACACGCTCAAAGCCGCTAAGCTCCCAAAGCCCAACTCCTTGAACCCTCAGAACCCTCAAAACAAACTCCAAAGTAAACCCTAGAAGACCTAAACAAACATGGCGCCTCAACCCGGGAGTTCTGGGCCCCCGAAACCCCTGCCGCCTAGAGGCTGTAGGTCTTGGGGTTTAGGGGAACCCAAAAACCCTTAAACTCTCTCAGAAAGAGCCCTAAACCTAAAGGGCCCCGGTAGGACGGCGATCCTTTGGAGCCGAGCCTGGAGTTGCAACTCATCTTCCTGCCCTACGCGAAGAGCACCCAAGAGCAGGCGCTGGTGGGTTTGCCGGTCAGGGGTTCTTTAGTTAAGGGTTTCTAAGGATTTCTTTCTTTGTGGTTTTGGGGCTTCCGTTGTTTTGGTGGTGTTAGGGGCTTTGGGTTTGCAGGTTTCGGGGGAGGCTTTGGGGATGAGGATTGGCCCATATTGGGTTTTGGGGTTTGGTGGGTGCGTGGTGGTTTAAGCATTCGGGCTCTCGAAGGTGTAGGAGTTTGAAGCAGCGGTTTTGCACTTGTGGTTGAGAGGTTCGGAGGTGGCGGTCCTCAAGCTGCCATTGCGTAGGTTGAATTCTGTAGAATCCCAAAGCTATAGACCCTTAGCCTAAACCCTACATAAACTCTTACAAACCTCAAGCCGTGCATAAACCCTAAATCCTAGCCTGTTCGAAAGCCTAAACTCTGCACTCCCTAGTGGATCCCGATCCCTAAACTTTTGCAAATCCTAAACCCTTAACATAGATCCCGCAAACCCAAGCTCCTAAACCCGAAGCCCCAGCGGTTAGTGCTGAGACTGCTAAGTTAAGCAGAGGGTTTGTTGCCAACGGGCCGCTGGCTTAGCAGCAGATACAGTTGTAGTCTCTCCGTCGTCGTCATCGTCGTCGTAGTAGTAGTAGTAGTAGTAGTAGTAGTGGTGGTAGTAGTAGTAGTAGTAGTAGTAGTAGTACTAGCAGTAGCAGTAGCAGTAGCAGCTTCAGGTCCACCATGCGTTCTATCAAAACAGCAGGTGCGAGTGCTGCGCTTGACCGCGGGACAGGGCTCGGCCGAGGAAGTGGAGCAGAACCTCAGCTATGAACAGCTTCAGCAATGTAGTGCGTTTCCCGGTGTGCTTTGTGGATCTAATTGTTCGCCGACTTCCAGGTTGGACTTGAAGGAATCGGGCTCAACCAAGTCTGTGGGAACCCTTTCGGGCCGGAACTAACCTCAGCTTCAACAGGCCAGAATTCTGAAATAAGCCACCGGGATCTTTCGGAGTCGATCTGGGTGGTTGGGACGCCTCGAAGAGAAAGGCATGCCACGATCAGGATAATGGCAACCACTGCGAGTCACTCGGATCCGCCTTGGGTCGCCTCCGCTCGTGGGTGTTGGGTGCATTCACTGCTGCGGGCGGCCCGCCCACACCACCTCAAAGCCCTGTTCTCGGGCTGCAGGCGGCCTGGCACCACCTCAAAGCCCTTTCTTGGGGAATCTTGGGTGCATGCATGGCATGTGCATTCACTTCTTCACCCTTTCGGAATCTCGGGTGCAGTCATTGCTGCGGGCTGGCTGCTCAAAGCTCTCTTATCGTGCATTCACGGCTGCGTGGCCTGCCACACCGCCTCAAAGCCATTTTCTCGGAAATCTTGGGCGGCCTGCCCCCACCACCTCAAAGTGAGATGCATTCCCGGCGGCATGCCTGCACCACCTCAAAGCCCTTTTAGCGCGCACCTTGGCTGCGCTCACTGCTCTCAAAGCCCTTCTTTCGGCAATGTTGGGTGCGTTCACTGCTGCGGGCAGATTGCACACACCGCGTGAAAGCTCTCTTTCGGGGATCTTGGGTGCACTCACTGCTGCGGGCGGCTTGCGGCCCGCCCGCACCGCCTCGAAGCCCTTGCTACAGGCTGTTCCTCAGCCCAAAGTTCAGGTTAAATGCCCACAAGATGGCAGGGGCCTTAATAGTAGGATTTTCGGGGCTCCTTATTATAATTACAGTATAATATACCCCAAAGCCCTATTCTAATTCTAAAGGCCCCTATATTTTGCGCCGGAGTCGGAGTCTGAGGATCCTGGGACGACCGCAGGATCCTGAGGCCTGCTGGGGGCTCCAAGAAAAGGGGTGGACTTGCCGGCGGGGCTATGAAGGGTTGGCTTGTGAGGGGTTTAGTGGGTGTATTCTAGAGGAGTGGAAGAGTAGAGGAGAAGAGGAGTATCGGAGGATAGGAGTTTGAAAAATACGGGGGGTATGTCGGTAAGTATTGGAGTATGGGAGTACGAGTGGAGGCAGGTGGTGGTAGGTCCTGGTATGCGCTGGTACATGGTGATAGGTGGTGGTCGGGGGTGGTCGGAGTGGTCGGTGGTGGGTAGCAGTAGTTGGTGGGTGGTGGGTAGCAGTAGATGGTGGGTGGTGGGTGGTGGTGGTGTTGTGATGGTGTTGTTGTTGTTGTTGTTGTTGTTGTTGTTGTTGTTGTTGTTGTTGTTGTGGTGGTGGTGGTGGTGGTGTAGTGGTGTGGTGGTGTGGTGGTGATTGGTGGTAAGTGGCCAGCGAGGCGCGATATAGTTGTATCAGGATGATAGCTAATTCTGGCGACTTGTGGTGGCGAGAGGTAGACGCACCAGGTGTAGAGTGTAAAAACGGGGGCACCAATCAAACTCTCGCCAGATGCCCAAAGACAGGAGCGACGGCGGCAAACAGAAAGGCTCCGTACTGTTGGTCCTACCTCCAACTTGTAAGTGCTGCAGTAGCTGTCAACCGCTCGACGCTGCCCTAGCCTAAGCCTGAAACCCCTAAACCTAAAACCTCAGCCTCGCAGGAGGTGGCTATCGAAGAAGAGGACTTGTTTGGCGCACTCCCGTTTGGATATTTTGGTGCGGAGATTGCGGAGACCCTGGCAGTCACGCCGCTCTTCGCAGCTGCAAAGAACGGCCATATAGAGGCTCGGCTGAAGTTCTTTGAGGGTTTAGGGTTTAGGGGACGAAAAGAGAGACCAGCATTGAAGAGCCTTCATGACATCAACAATCAGATCAGAAGTCACACGAGTGGCGACTTGGAACGATAATTGTTCTCTTAGTTCGCCATTATATTATAATGGCGACCGCTTTGCTTGATTTCAACCGCGATCACAATCATGACATCAAGCCTCATTCAAGAAAGTCATTCAATGTGTCCGACTAGTGGTTAGCAAGGCATTGGGCTCTACTACAGCCCTGCGGATTTCGTGCTCTAGTCGACTCTTAGGTTTCAGCCGGGTTTTGGGGCGCAAGTCGAATACCACCGCTGCCAATGCTTCAGAGGTTGCGGATGTTCAGGATGGTTATCCATCCCACCCGAAAGCTGACGCCCTATCCCTTTCTAGCTTCCGGTCGGGAAGAAGCCTTCAGAGACCAAGGCGGTCGTGCACCTTCTGCTTGAGGCCAGGGCTCACCCGGACAAAGGCTGCCGGCAATGCACACCCCTGGTGAAGGCGGGCAGCGTCGTAGGCAGCGGAGGGCTCTAAAGTTTATGGGTGTAAGGTGTAGGGGCTGTACGGAAAGCCCGGTCAGAACTGAGAGGGCAAGACTCCCCCCAAGCCGAGCATCCTCAGCACCATTGAGGCCTGCGCACAGGGCCACGCCGAAGTGGTTCAGACTCTGCTCCAGAGTGGTGCTGACAAGGACTTCGGTTTCTGTAATGGCTGCAAGCGCTACCGTGCTTGCTGCCAGTCGCCGTCTGGTGCTTGGGCGGTTAATTGCAAAGGCTAGCACGAGGAGAGGGAAGCCGACTTTCCCAAGAAGAAGTTGATAAAACTGAGGATGAGGGCCAGGATCATGATGTACACGGCTGGATCAGTGGCAGTGATTGATGAGAATGCTGATGGCTGCTGGTGACGATGAAGTTGACGATGACGATGACGATGTTGACGATGACGATGTTGTTGTTCATGATGATGATGATGATGATGATGATGATGATGTATAAGCATCTCGGCCCGAGCCTTTTAAGAAGCTCCCAACATGGCGCACGCGGCGCTGCGACTGCTTTTGGCGTTTACAACACTGCTGCTGAGAACATTCGAAGTACCACACAGTGTTATGCCTGGAACTGGTCAGGAGGAGTTTTCCAATTACGGGGGCCGCCGGGGTCCCA